TTTAATTGAATTAAATTAATCATGGGGCATTTTGATCAAACTTCGACCAGTCTTAATGTGGTCTTCGTAAAAATTACCTTTGAAATTATCAAAAAGGGCATGCAAGGGGGTTTTCCATCAAGGGCATTTTGGTCATTTGGACATGCGTAATTCTCTTCCTAGTAATAATAACATACCTCGCTAATTCTAGGACGAAGCATTGATGAATGCTGAATACACAAACAAGCTGCCGCTACCAGTTGTTTCAGTTGCTCGTAGTCATAAGATTCAGCAAGCGCAGGATCTACAAGCTCTTTAATCTCATTCCTTTCAATTAGTGGCTTTGCCTGAAAGAAAAAAAAAATCCGAAAAATGTTGCGTATATAATTTCTTCCTTTTTTCCAGTAATAATCAAAAGAATGTCTGTGACAAAAAATCACGTACCCACATCACTAAACTTTGCTGTGAAGAATCTAATGCTTTACGACCACTGATGAGCTCCAACAGCAGAACACCGAAAGCAAAAACATCTGTTTTCTCATCGACAACTCCATGTGTGAGATACTCAGGAGCAAGATAACTGTAAATATGCAAATAAGTAGAGGTTAGGGTCTGAAACATTATTATTGAGTTCAAATTTAAGAGACATTTCGATCGCAGACCCAAATGTGCCTTCGAAACTTGATAGTGTATGATGAGTCAATTGATCAGGAAGCCACTTTGCCAGGCCAAAATCACAAATCTGAACAGACCCACCAGATCAGCAATTAAGACATTTTTAACCTGAAAATTTATCAGAAGACACAATAAATGCGTACCTGAGGTTCAAAGTCTTCAGTGAGCAAAATATTCGCAGCTTTGATATCTCGATGAATGATTCTCCTCTGACATCTATCATGTAGGTACTCGAGGCCCTCTGCAGTCCCTATAGCAATCTTGTACCTAACATCCCACTCTAATTTTCCCTTAGAACCTGAAAACTTAAAATATCATTAAGGAAATAGTTTCATTATATCGAAAATAGATTATATTGATAAGCTTACCATGAAGAAGAGATGATAAGCTCCCATGAGGGGAGAGACGAAGAACTAAATGCAAGTCTTCTTCGACTCCAACTCCGATCAATTTGGCGATATTTGGATGATTTATATGAACAAGTATCCCTAGTTCAGCTAGAAAATTGTTAGTTCTTTCTTCTAGTGGTCCTTTAACCAACCTCTTCACTGCTACAAACTGTCCATCTTCTAAGCATCCTTCATAAACCTCAGCAAAACCTCCCCTCCCTATGAGATTCTCTGCATTTTGTGTCATATTAAAGTTAACAATGAAACTACAGGGGAAGTAGGTTCAAAATTGTTATATTACAGAGAATAATCATACCATCACTGAAATTATTGGTGGCATTCTTGAGCTCTGAAGTAGTGAAACTTTTCCAAGAAGGCTTAAAGAAGCAAAAATCATTGTCAGAACTTCCAATAGGTCCTTCGCCGTGATTCAATTTACCACTCTTCCACTTCGACAATCTCGCTACTCCGATCCTTGGAGGAAAACTAGACAACCTCCTCATCGATTTCTGCCTCCACAACCGGAAGAAACTCCTCCATAAAGAGGCGCCGTTATTGTTACTATGTGAATTTACGTCCAACGACGAAGTGCTTTCCTTTGGAGAGCATGTCTCTGAATCTGAAGTACTTCTCGTGTTATCTTCAATGGTACTTCCTCTACTAGAGGCTTCCTCGATTGAACCTACCGTTTCCTTCTCGACATCTTCAAGAGATCTCAAGTCTATAGAAAAGGAGCATACTTTGTATGAGTACGTTGGCAGTTAGTCACAAAGAGTCAATTAGATACAGACCAACCGGGGTATGGTTGTTCTGAACTTACTACTCTTAAAGTTTCACCGTTGCAGATAAACCCCCCGAATAATTTTTCAAAACAGCCTCATTTTGTTTTTTAATTTTTAATATCGACCATTTTTTTATTTATCAAAACCGACCCGTTTTTTACCACGTCAGCCTAATCACTTTCCTAAACAGTCGGAGTTGTCAACCCCGACTATTTAGGAGGGTGTTAACCCCCAATTAGAAGCCTTAAACCCTAAAAAATTATGTCCTGTTTAGAAAAGTGATTAGTCTGACGTGGCAAAAAATGGGTCGGTTTTGGTAAATAAAAAAAGATCGATTTTAAAAATTAAAAAAAGAAATGGGGCTGTTTTGACCAGTTTTGACAGATATTGACCCCTGGGTTAATTAATTTTGACCCTTTTATGCTCAGATAGCCCCGCTAATTTCACCGGGGCCAATATCTGCCAAAATTTTAAATCTCGCTCTTTTACATACACTGAGGGTAAAATGTTTCAAAATAACCCGGGTTTTTTTTGGGTGGGGGGGGGGGGGGGGGGGGGGGGTTTATCTGCAACACTGAACTACGTGGGTAGTAGAAATGAAAACGAGGATACTACAGTTGGCAATGTGCAATTAACCTTTACCTTGGGCAGAAACAGAGGAAGGCAATATCGGTACTACTACATGATCTTTGCCCTTCTCCCGGAGGGGGAAAATCAATAAACCTCTGATTTTAGGAGGTTTTCCAGAAAATTTTGTGATGTCAAGTTTTCCTGAAAATTTGGGGATGTCCTTTATAGTTGTAAGGAGAGCATGTTTTGCATGAGACACGGCACTGTAAAAAAAAAGAGGAGAGAAAAAAAAATTACAAAAACATGTAGACATTGAAAACAAATGCTAATTGCAGAATAAAAATAAATTTGAATTTGAATAGAAACTTGCTTGGTGTTTAAAAGACCAACAAGAAGAAGAATCTAAGAAATAACTCATTCAAGTAAAATGTCTAGTGACCCCATTAAAGAAAACAAGGAGAAAACTCAAAAATGAAAAAATAAAAAAAAAATAAACATAAAAGTACCTTTTGGTGGCATCTTCCATCGCATTCATCGACAAATTTCCTCTTCTCCCAAAAAGAAGAGGAAAAGTGAAGGGAACCCAATATCCAAAAAAACTCGAAACAAGGAAGAAAAATCTCACAAAATTTTCTTTTTGCTCCAAAAAAAATTATTCAAAAAAAAAAGAAAATTTTTCTTGCAACCCTTCGACCCTTATCCAAAATTTAGTCTCGACCCCTTCTATCCCTGCAAACGTTGTTCTCTCCCAAATCCTGCTATTTTTATCAATTAACTCAGCAACGTATGACAACAAAAGAAAATGTGGCGCGGTTTCCACTCTCGTCCTTTGAAAAATAAATAAATAAGTAAATAAATATAAAATACGAGATAATGCGTGGGGGGCTCTAAAGCCTTTAAATAGAGGATTGAGTTTGGGCCGTCCGTTAATGGGCCCGTCGGCTGG